TTTTCGGCAAATGGAGAGCCAGTTTTTCCAGCACCATTTATTAAAGAGACTGTCGTTCTTCCAGTGAACCTGCTTGGCTCCTTTATCAAAAATAAGGTGGTTGAGTGTGTTCGTAGTTGTGGTTGTATCTTCTCATCTATTCCACTGATCTTCAGCTCTGTTTTGATTCCAATACCATGTTGATTTTACTACTGTTGCTTTGTAGTATAACTTCAAGTCAGGGATTGTGATGCCTCCTGCTTTGTCTTTGCTGCTTAGAATTGCCTTTGCGATTCTAGGTCTCTTCTGGTTCCAGATGAAATTTAGGAGTGATTTCTCTAGATCTATAAGGTATGTTGATGGTATTTCTATTGGGATTGCATTGAATCTGTATAACAGTTTTGGGAGAATGGCCATTTTCACAATGTTTGTTCTTCCTATCCATGAGCAAGGGATGTCTTTCCATTTTCTGAGATCATCTTCAATTTCCTTTTTCAGTGTATTATAATTTTCACTGTATAAGTCTTTCACTTCTTTCGTAAGAGTAATTCCTAAATATTTCATTTTTTTGCTTGCTAATGTGAATAGTCCAGTTTCTCTTATTTCCCTCTCTGTAATTTTGTTGTTTGTGTATAGGAATGCTATTGATTTCTGAGTATTGATTTTGTATCCAGCCACATTACTGAATTTATTTATTGTATCTAAGAGTATTTCAATGGAGTTTAGGGGGTCTTCTATGTAGAGTATCATGTCATCTGCAAACAATGATAATTTAACTTCTTCTTTTCCTATCTTTACCCCTTTTATTTCTCTTTCTTGCCTAATTGCTCTGGCTAGTACTTCCAGTACTATATTAAATAGGAGTGGTGATAAAGGACATCCTTGTCTTGTACCCGACTTTAAAGTAAAGGCTTTCAATTTTTGGCCATTTAGTATGATGCTGGCTGTTGGTTTGTCATAAATGGCCTTTATTATATTGAGGTAAAGACCATTTATTCCAATTTTCTGTAAAGTTCTTATCATGAATAAGTGTTGGACCTTATCGAAGGCTTTTTCTGCATCTATAGAGATGATCATGTGATTCTTATTTTTGGCTTTATTGATATGGTGGATTACATTTATTGATTTGCGTATGTTGAACCATCCTTGCATTCCTGGGATGAATCTCACCTGGTCATGGTGTATAATCTTCTTGATGATTTGCTGGATCCTATTTGCCAATATTTTATTGAGGATTTTTGCATCTGTGTTCATTAGGGAGATCGGTCTATAGTTCTCTTTTATAGTTGGGTCTTTCTCAGGTTTTGGTACTAGAGTAATATTTGCTTCCAGGAATGACTTAGGAAGGATTGCTTCCCTTTCAATTTCATTGAATAGTTTGAGGAGTGTCGGCATTAGGTCTTCTTTATATTTCTTGTAGAATTCTGCAGTGAATGCATCTGGGCCTGGGCTCTTCTTGGTGGGCAAGGACCCAATTACATTCTCAATTTCATTAGCAGAGATTGGGTTATTCAACAGTTTTATATCCTCTTGATCTAGCTTTGGTACTTCATATGCTTCTAAGAATCTGTCTATTTCTTCTGTGTTATCAAACTTTTGAGAGTAGAGGTTTTCGAAATAGGTGTTGATGATCCTCTGTATTTCTATTGGGTCTGTAGTGATTTCTCCTTTTTCATTTCTTATTGCATGAATTTGAGCTTTTTCTTTCCTTTTTTTAAATAAGGTTGGCTAGGGGCTTATCGATTTTATTTATTCTTTCAAAGAACCAACTCTTTGATTCGTTGATTCTTTGGATTGTTTTCTTAGTCTCTATTGCATTGATTTCTGCTCTGATTTTTATAATTTCCTCTCTTCTTTTGGCTTTGGGCTTGACTTGCTCTTCTTTTTCTAGCTGTTTGAGGTGTAGCATCAAGTTATTTATTTGTATTCGTTCTGTTTTCCTGATGTGGGAACTCAGTGCAATAAATTTTCCTCTCAGAACGGCTTTCATTGCATCCCACAGATTCCGGTAAGTTGTATCTGCATTTTCATTTTCTTTTAGGTATTGTTTAATTTCTTCTGTGACCCACTGATTACTCAAGAGTGTGTTATTTAGTTTCCATGTGTTTGCGGCATTTTTGCAGTATCCTTTGTCATTAATTTCTAATTTCAGAGCGCTATGATCCGATAATATGCAAGGGATGATTTCAACTCTTTTGCATTTGCTTAAATATGTTCTGTGAGCTAATATATGGTCTATTTTAGAAAATGATCCATGTACTGCTGAGAAGAATGTGTATTCTGATGTTGTTGGGTGGAACATTCTGTATATGTCTATCAAACCCATTTGTTCACAGGTGTGATTCAGTTCTGTTATTTCTTTGCTCATTTTCTGTCTGGTTGATCTGTCCCTTGGTGTCAGTGGTGTATTAAGGTCTCCTGTTACAATTGTGTTACTGATAATTTGAGTTTTCATTTCTGTTAATAATTGTTTTATATAACTGGGTGCTCTGGAGTTTGGTGCGTATATATTTAAGATAGTTATCTCTTCCTCTTGGAGTTTTCCCCTTACGAGTATGTAGTGACCTTCTTTGTCCTTTATGGTCATTGTTGGTTTAAAGTTCACGTTGTCTGCAAACAGAATGGCTACTCCTGCCTTTTTTTGGATTCCTGCTGCATGAAGAATTGTTTTCCATCCTTTGACTTTCAGTCTGTGAGTATCTTTCTGGGTTAGATGGGTTTCCTGTAAACAGCATATGGTTGGATTTTGTTTCTTGATCCATTCTGCTAGTCTGTTTCTTTTGGTTGGTGCATTGAGACCATTTACATTAATGGTTATTACTGTTAAATGCTGGTTAATTGTAGGAATGTTATCTCTCTGCTGTTGCATCTTTATCTTTCTGTTCTGTTTAATTATTTGCTTTGCTTAGTGCTTTTTTCCTTTGTGTATCTAAACTGTCTTTCAATATTTTTTGCAGGGTTGGTTTGGTGTTCATGAAGTTCTTCAGCTGTTCTTTGTCATGGAAGTATCGTATTGCACCATCTATTTTGAATGATAGTTTTGCAGGATATATCAGTCTTGGTTGGAAATCATTTTGCTTTAGGATCTGGAATACTTCACTCCATGCTCTTCTTGACTTTATCGTTTGTGCTGAGAAGTCTGCTGTGATTCTGATAGGTTTTCCTTTATAAGTGATTTGTCTTTTCTCTCTGACAGCTTTTAATAATCTATTCTTGTGTTGGATTTCTGGGATGGTGATTATTATATGTCTGGGTGTAGTTTTATTTTGGTTATGACTGTTTGGAGTTCTATATGCTTCACTGATCCTGATGTCAGTTTCTGATCTCATGGTTGGGAAATTTTCAGCTATTACTTCTCTAAATATCCTCCTGACATCCTTCATGTTGTCTCCCTCTCTTTCATTATTCTGACCTGTTGGAAAAATAGCTTATTGTTGGAACTGAGTTTGGAAGCACAGGCACGGTAAGTATGAAGGCACCCGGAGATCAGAGTCCACCGGGATCCTATCACCAGCCCTTGTCACTAATCTGTAAACAACAATTTCAAGTAGTAGTTAGCACTTTTTAACTAAGACACTGAAACATAATCATTTCCTGTACACTAAATAGTACACATAACACTAAATAGTCTTCATTAGGCCTGAGCAAATAAGGTCACTTCATCTATTACCATATCTTTAACCTTTAAAATTTAATTTAAAAAAGTTAACCAATTACCAGTCCAGTTGTTTAAATACAGGATGACCAAGTATTGCATATTTTTTCATTAATTTTTTTGTAACAGGAAATACAAAAACAACAGTTTTATCAAATATATTCAATAGAAGAATCAACTGGTTGAAAAGACACTTTCTCGAGCAAAACTCGGGGTAGTCAGTATGTAAACAGATCTGCTGCCTGAGTGACACTCAGGGTAAACTATTAAATGGTTAATGGAAAAGATGGGTTTTTGGCTTTTTTGTTACATTGTGAAAATAGGTCTCAACTTAAAACTAGGTTTATTAATTTTTTGGTGATTTTTACAAACCATTTAGTCTTTCTGCTTGTATGCATTAGGTTTCAAAAGAAAACTATTCGTGCCATCAAAAATTTCCATGACTGAGATCTACAGGAGTAGGTGTAAGTAGTGGCCAAAAGTGGGAACACTTGCTTCTAGTGCATTTGTGATTTAAAGGAATAAGCTCTTCATAGGTCCGGTAACATTACAAACTGTGTAGTTTCAAACAGTTATTTTGAGAGACCATTAAAAAAAAGATGATTTAAAATACTTGATTCCAGAGTAATAACTTTAGCACTAAAAGAAAACAGGCAGTATCAGTTCAGAATTCTTCCATCCAACTTTCAATAGACTGATTATGATAATATCATCTCTAAAAGCAAGCCATTGTAAAAAGCTAACAGCCCATAACAACATAATTTGATTATAAAGTTAGAAAACCACAATAATACTTCTTTACCTAATTCAAAATTCTGAGAACACAATACATTAAAGGACTCTTCAGATTAACCTGGCATAGAACTGTCTCCTGAGCCTTCAAATCCTATACCATTTTTAAACCTCTGATCATCTTTAACTTGTTTCTTTTTATTTAGGGGTTATGGTGAATTACAGTAGATTTTCTGATAAACTAATTTTAAATGTAGATAGATATAAAACTGAAATGCATTAACCCCCAGAAAAGATTACCTCAAACACTATTCTGTGATTCTGTTCAGCTCATAGTACATACATAGCTAAAAGTTCTCCTAAGCTGTGTCTTATAAAATATTAGAAAATTCAATGCATAAAAGTTACCACACAGGCTGTGACAACAGTTAGCCTGTAGTAATTTTTAAAGTTTGATTCAAAATAGACTTAATCAAAAGGGCACTTGAAAGGTGTGGCTCAAATTCTGATCTTTTAAAAAGTCATCTGGAAATTACAGGCTCATTCTCCTAAAACCTCCAAAGGCTCTTAAGGGCCCAGCACCAAAAAGTTTTAAAAGTTCTTTTTAAAAAAGCAATACTTCATAGTTTTCTCTCTTAAATGCTTCCCTAAAATACGTGCAGGATAAAGGCTAAAGGAAAATCAGTAATAAAACTAGCCAAGTGTCCAGCAACTGGGCTGCTTCCTTGCTTCACCCATTCCAAAGGGAGAAAAGAAACCATCCTGTAGTAAATACTTCATAGACAATTGGGCTTTTGCAGTGACAGGCGGCATTTGATGCCCCATATCTCCTGGTTCTTTATGTTGCCAACAGTTGGCCTGGCAATGGTAGTGAAATAGGAACAATTAATCTGCAGATGAGGAAGGGCTTCTCTTAATAGTTGAAGGGTACCATCTGGCACGATTCCAAAAACTTGTAGTGTTTTCAGTGTAGGGATTTCTCCAAGTTCAAGTAGCGTTTCAGGTATTATAGCACCGACTGAGTGACAAGTGTTGGAGGTAGTTGAGCTGGAGAAATTCTGGAAAGCAATCATTCTTCAACATGATACTATCACTTAAGTCTAGATGGACAAGGTTGGGGCATCTTCTAATTAAGGTAGAGACATCTGACTTCTGGAGATTCTTTCTATAGCCACTGAGATTCAGCTGGGTGACTGTTTCTGACACATGTGTTACAGCCACTTGCACATGCTTTTCAGTGAAATCAAAGCACCAAGACAGATTCAGCTCATCCAGCCTGGAACAGCTGCTTAGCAAAGTCTTTAGAGCAGAGTCTGAAAATCCAGAACACCCACAAAGGTTTAGTCGCACTAAATTTGAGTTCTGTGCAAGATTATTGACAATGGGATCTGAAAGCTGTAGGCCTTCCAGGCTTAGATTCTGCAACTTGGTGCACCGAGACAGAATGCCAAGGAGGGTATTCACATTTATAACGGAGTTCGACAGGTCCATGTGCTGTACGCGGAAAGGGCTGAAATGTTCAACCAATGGCTGGTCCATAAATGATCGTGGGCAGCGGAAGGCAATCACTCCTCGAGACAGCAAACGACCAGTCACATCTGGGTGCAGATTTCTACCTGTGAGGTCTAGGGTCTGCCAAAGGGACTCGTCAAACGCAAGGCAGTACCACCTCTTACAGACACCAGACACTCTCAGCAGCTCAGGGAGGCACAAACAAGAAAAAATCCCCAGGAGAAGCTCATCTGGGAGGGAGTCCCATGAAACACCTGCGGATGATCACAAAATCTTTATCATTTCCTTTACTTTTCAGCCTTCTCCGTAGGGGGCTCTGTGGGTGGCCCACGTTTGGGAGCAGTTCCTGGGGAATGTTCTCACTGTCCACCTCCTCCTTCTCAAGGGCGGAGACCCCCATGCCTGACAACAGTTCAGAAGTCTTATTGGAATCCCATCCCCAGGTGAAGCTGGTGCTAACATTGCTACTCTGGTCTGGAATCTCCTGGAGGTGCTTCCTGTGCATGGCGTCCACTGGGTCCGGAGTTTTAAATACGTGCATTAATTGCAGGACTGCCCGCCTCCTGTATTACCGCTTTGGCGCGTAGCTGCTCCCAGCGTGCAGTTTTGGCCCCTAGCAGTCAGACCCGCGAACTGTAGCAACACACTGGTTAGAATTAAGCCATAACATTAGAAACTTAACTCTATCGGTGCATGCAGAACAAGAGGAGGTGCATTGGTTAGAGTTAAGCCATAACAAACTGTATAAATTATCTAAACCTCCAGTTAAAAAAGATACAAACTCTTAAAGGTAGCTCAGATATCTCTGCAGGGAGTCACATTCTTGAGATACATTCTTGGACCCAGGGAATGATTACTGTCTGGGGAATGGATCCAGGCTATTTGTGATCTTAGGGTTTTTGTCATCAAGTAATATTCTTTGTTTCTTCCTGGAGATGGCCAGTTTTGGAAAACTCTGGGTACCTAATTTTGGGCCAATAGAAAAGCTATATGAGAGTTTCAAATGTTCAGTTTGATTCTGTGGAAGGAGCAAAGACTTTCAAATGTTCAGTTTGATTCTGATAATTCTTTTCAAAGAGCAAAGCATGCCCTCATTCAAGCTACAGCACAAGAAGTGACTTTCTCTACATGTCAGAAAAGAGAGAAACTTTTCTGTGAATCTTGAACCTAAAGGTGAGAGAATAACCTCACTCAGTGGTATACTTTTCAAAAAAGTCACAGTGGGGGCTGCTAAATTGCCACCATGCTTAAGAGCATAGCATCTACAGCTATGCTAATCAATCAATAAATAAATAGCCACAAATGTAACTATCGTACAAAAACAGAAAGTTTTGACTGCCTATCGGGTGAGGGATGTACTTAAAATTAATAATCTCTTGTGATTGACAGGTAAATGACTTACCAAGCAACATATCAAGTTTCTAGACCCAACCAAAGGCACTTTGCAGACTTATATTAATTTTAATATTCCCTCACCAATGCCTTCAAGCTGGAAGGTTACCCACTCTTATCAACAGATGATTTCCCTATGCAAGCAGACAGGATATCAGTGATCTGCTTTTCTGAGATCTGAGAAGGAATTTACTGAGCTAACTAAGAGAAAAACTTTGTCTAAGAAGGCTATCAAAAGGCAAATAATGCAATTACCTGTTCATAACAGGAAGTTGAGGCCAAAATCCTTCCCTCTGGCAACTGCACTCAAAAAAGCAGAGCACTTTTCAATTCATTTATATATGTGAAGAAACCAACAGAGACTCCCAATAAAGGCAGTTTAAATCTGCTGCCATCCCAAGTGAGTTTTCGCTAGGAAAAATGCCTTATTTGCATAAGAAAAATGCTAATCTAGGAATTTGGAAAACCAAAGAATCCTTTTTGTTATCCCCTGCTTCCAAAAGTCTACTCCCAGACTCAACATCCTATAGAACATACTTATTTTCTTCCTTCAATAAATGTACACCTTTATTACCCTTTTTTTTTGTGTATGTGTGTTCTGTCCAATTCTTTGTTTTGGATACCTAGAAACTAACAAGAATTTCCCTGGGATCCACTGTTTGGTAACAGTAGGATCTCTGATAATATCAGATCTTATAATTTAGAAACACAAAACGAAGACAAAGAAAAAGAGTATGGTTCGTGGATAATTAACTGGAGGATTGGTTTTTTTAAAAAACAATTGAAACCTGAAATATTAGTTTTCATAAAATCCATTTTATGCTTGATATAGAAGTAAAAGTGAAATAAGTTGCTTTATAGAATGTTAGCATCAAACTGCATTATATATAGTGACATTTTTATTGGTACCGGGGATCGAACTCATCACTGTCTCCTTGCAAGGCAGGCGCTTATGCCACTGAGCTAAATTCCCAGCCCCCTATAGTGACATTTTTTATGTTTCATTTCCAGTGTAAAAAATAATTCAGTTACAGAAAATACATTTGTTAAAATATTGTCTCCAAGTTGTTGTATATTTCAAATACCAACTCTGTAAAAATAGCTTTGGATACATTGTTATGCTGGTGTGTTTAAAGTTACATTGAGCCATACTAAAATTATGAATGTGTAGTTACAGTTGCTAGAGTAAATGCAAATCTTTTGTTACAAATGCTGATATTAATTAAAATAACATGAGATAAATACAGTGATAGGATTATTTCCAAAAGATGAAAAGTATTTCCAAAAGATGAGAAGTATAAAACAAAAAGAGGCCTTTATGCTGAGAACACGGAGAGAGATGACCGGCACCCCCCACTGCTGGAGTCTGGCGATCTCTCTAGTGGACACGTGGCGTGGCGGGTATGTAAGTAGCCTCGGTTTGGGGTGGAACCTAAGGGGGCATCAGGGATGCACAGGTAGCCCATTGGTCCTAGGTTTGGCGCCATAGGCAAATTCCCAGGGGCGGGGAAAATGGCGTCACAGGTAAATTCCTAAGGGCAGGGGAGATAGGGGCTTCCTGGTTCTGGTTACAGTGTCTGGCCTGGGCCAAAAGCCTTTCATACAGTTGTTCTTAAGATTTTTTCTTGAGATATGATCCAGTAGTTAGACTTAGATATCTAGAGAACAAAACAAATTTAAGAAACATACTTTACAAAACAGATAAAAGATTGCTACTATTGAAAACAAAAAATGAGTGGCATGAGCTCTAAAATTGCATCAGCTTATTGCCTGCAGGCAGTTTTCTGGTCACCTCACAAAGTGAAAATATGATTAAATGGAAGCTGCTTTCTTGCCATGTTAAGGAGGCAGAGATCAGAGTTGGAGAGGTGAGAGCAGTTTGAATCAGTGAGGGGAGAGTATTTTAGAGTAAGGAGCCACACCTAAAAAAGCTCCAGAAATCTGCAGAGTTCCCCATAAGACTTAGGTTAAATTCTACTTTATTCATGCTTGAGTGGAAACTTATCCAAGATCAAGCAATAACTATCAGAAAGCAGTTACATAAACAAAGAAGGAAACAGTTCATGCTCCTATTAGTCCAAAGTGAAAAAAAAAAAATCTCTACATATACAAACCATCAGGAAGTCTCTTTAGTTGAGTATTACCTCATTGGTTATACTACACTAAACCTAGTTAAACTTGCTCTGGAGGTTGACTAACAATATCTGGAAATTGGCCTATAATTGTCAAATTAATTCCAGAAATCTTAACAGTGTGTCTAAAGTTCATGACTGAGTTAAAAGAAAAATAAATAAATGCACAAATTAAACTCATACCTGACTCTGAGTCAACATTTCTCAAGGACTGTAGAGAGAAAAAAAAAAAAAAAAAAAAAAAAAAAAAACACTCAGTAATGATAGAGAAATGGGTTAGGATACAGCACTAAGGCCTGACTTTTCTCTATTTTATGTATTGTGTGCAAAACCCTGGCCGCTCCCCCCCCCCCATGTTTAGAAGAGTGTTTTATAGTGAACACTCTTGATGATGAAGACATTTCGTCCCCCTTCAGGTTGTTTATTGTTTTAAAACAGAAAGATATTCCTCCTTCCACGGCAAAATGTAGATATTCATAATCTCCAGAATAATAAACAGTGTCTCCTCCTGGGACAAAGCACAAAGACTTTAACCATCCATTTCAATAGACTCAGATTTCCTGACTTCAGATTCCTCACTGTAGCATCACTGTGTGCAGAGAGCTTACACTCACTGTTTGTTGAGGTTGGCTTAACCAGGGTGAAAATGTAGATACCTTGATAGTCGATATTTCTCTAAGTATTAAACTGACCATTGCTTGGCCTACATATACTGAAGGAAAGCAATTATTAAAAGTCATATCTGGGCAAAAGAGAAAAAAAAAGCATCAGCCTAGCTTCATCTAAAGGGCAACTCATTGTAAGCAAAAGTTTTGTTAAGTGTCTAGCAACTTAGAATCCTTTGTAACCAGAATGTCTCATGGAGCAGTGATGTTTTGCACTAGGAGGTTGAGTCAGTGTTTCCTGTCTTCCCAGGGAATTCCCATCCCATGCCACTTGGCGCTTGGTACCACCATTGACAGAAATATCTACCTGAATGCCCAAATTACCTGGCAGTGTTCAGCAGTCTCCAATAAAGAATCTAAGGTTTTTCTGTTTCCTATCTGTGGTCCACCATGAGCCTTGAAGAAGGAAAGTGCTGAATTCTAACACTCCTCAAACTTTTGCTCAGATATCAATGTATAAATTGGTAGATAAAATGTTGAAGGACTTATTTGTCTTTGACTATTCTGATCAATGTGTTTTTAATTTTCAATCTGCTTTGCTCTATTAAATATTCCTAAATATGAAACAAAATCAGGTAGAATTCATTGTAACAACTTTGATTGAGAATTGACTAACAGTTATCCTTCTACATTAAATTCTTAAGAATAAATATCTCATGTAGCTATGTATTGTGGGTTTTTTTTTAGGTTTGTAGTGACTCTGACTTTTTTTTTTTTTTTTTTTTGGCCCCATTGCTAATTCTCTGTTAAATGCCCTGCTATGCTAAGATCAATTACTGGATTCAGAACAGTATTTTAGAAACAGAGCCTATTCTATGTGTAAAACAAAGACACCACAATACATTGAAAAGAAAGGACTTTTCTCAGTGTCTTAGGCCCCACAAATAACCTTGAAGACCAATAAGTTCATTTCTATTACATGGTTTGAATTATAAAAAGCTAAAGAAAAATGAAAGTATAGAAACACTGCCATCAAGTGGTCAATTTAAGGAATTGTATAAATTATACATCTGATTTCAGGGATATTTTACTGTTTAGCCTCCAAATTCAAGGTTAAGTCTTTAATCACTAATATTCTGAAAGATTTTTCTTTCTTATTATAAAATCCTACTTTAACTCAAATAGTTGATTTGTTTATTTCAATTCAATATTCTTTGCAGAATTTCAGTGGCACTGTCTCAAACACAGGACTTTAGTATCCAATCCAAAATATTTACTTCTAAAAACAGTGATGAAAATCATGCATGCATGCATGTGTATCAGCACACACTTTTCCTATTATAAAATTATGTGTCTGTCAATCTAGACAAACATATATATAATCATTTTTTATTTTAAAAGGCAAAAACATATTTTGCAATATTAACTGATAAAATTACATGTTCACTGAAGAACTATGGAATTGCATTAATATTCATCACCATGTACTATCTGTTTAACCTGTGATA